TATAGTACCCTAAATAGTAGGATCCTTATTGGAAGGACCCCAAAATATGGTACCCCTAATGCCCGGAAACTCCCATATCCCTCCTGGAGAAAAGCCATGGGGAAGCGGAGCAAATTGACCTTCGGCAAGCACGGAGCTTCAGATCAGGTTGCTGGCCTAAGAACTTCCTATGGGAATCTGGGTTCTTGTTAAGGAAACTCATTGATTTAAGTTACCATTATAGGGATCTACAGTACATAATATGGCTTAAGTCTGAGGTTAACGTTATGGGTTAAGGGGTTACAGGTTTTAAGGTTTAATTTGGGGTTGAAAGCATCCTGAACTCTTCAGGGATGTATGTAATTGCGATTCGAACTTCAGCTTGCCTTGGGATAGAGAGCCTAGCCACGAATTCAGGGGCCTTAAGAAACCCTAAACCCTAAACCCCTAAACCCTAAACCCTAAACCCCTAAACCCGAAACCCCAAACCCTAAACCGTTCAGGGTCTGGAGATTCAGCCCTCTAGAGGAGATTGATATCTCAGCGAGCAATCATCCGTAGATAAAAACAACCCAGAGAGCCCAATACCCCTTAATTAAGGAATATGGCTTAAATCATAATATGAAGCCCTATATAATATAAGCCATATTCCTTAATTAAGGGGTATCGGGCTCTCTGGGAATGTGATTTGCATGTGCGCAAAACACGGGCTCTGTCACCCGCAGGGTATAACTTCGCAGGATGAAGAACTTAGGGGTTGCAAGGAAACCTGAACCCAAACAAAAACAAAAGGCCGCAGCAAACTTGGACGGCGGCTTCCCCGAAGCGGCTTGACCTTCTGTTGTGCGTGGTCTCTCTGTGTGTGTGCGTTGGGGGGGACACTTGGTGTGTATGCTTCCGGTTTAAAAACTGCTTCTTCACGGGCTTTCATGTTTATCTAGGATCTCGAACAAAATTGTGATTTGCCTATGTCTCCAGCTGCGCTGGGGAAATCAAGGGCTTGTCAGAGGCTCACAATTACTTCAACTACAAAAAATGTCTCATCCAAAATGGCCATAAACGCTACAGCCGGAACCCTAAACCCTGAAGCTTGTCTAGGGCATCCGTACCTAACAAGATTGAGGCTTCTGGAGATTCGTGAGTTCCTGGACGTTGGGCTGTTCAAGGCATGTTTAGTGTTGAGGGTTGTTCGGGTTTTAGGATACGGTCCTAGAGCTTGGCTATCGGGGTCCCCGGAAGCACGAATAGGGTGTCGGCTTGCTGCTTCATGGTTGAAAAATTCAAGAAAAATTCAAGTACGTCGTGCTAAGATGTAATATGACGCATAATACCACATCCTTCCTGTTTGACGTAAACAGTACATAAATTACATAAACATAGAATAAATATCAACATACAGCCCTGTCACACCCCTCTGACCCCATACCCGGGACCCTAGGCCCCTGACCGCGCATCTCCGAGCTTGCGCGGAATAATTTGGGATTCTCATTGCAACCTTAACGTAAGCTAGTCAAGCTTCCCCAATCCGACCCCTTGATCCAAACTTACCAACTACATTCAACCGCTGATATTATAAGCCCCCCAAAGCTACATTAAACCCTAGAGTCTGCAGCCGAATTTACCTGCACCGTTGAAAAGCCGAGATTAAATCTCTTCCGGACCTTAAACCCTAAACCCTAAACCCAATCCCCTTTGTCATAAAGACCGGCATTGCAGGACCCCAGAAGCCTGGGACAGCTCAAGATCAAAGGGGAAAAGGAGGGACCCTTAATGGGGACCCCTGGGTCCCTGTAATGGGCCATATGATGGATATATAATAGCTATATTAAGGGTATATACCTAGGGGTCCTTATTAAGGGTCCCTCCTTTTACCCTTGGACAGATGAACCCTCGCGGACCGAAACCTGAGGTTCGAGCATGGGTCCAGTCAGCCTCCAAAAGGATTTGCTTTGGGGTTTAAGGGCCTAAAAGCCTCCTACTTACAGTAGAAGCCAGAAAGTTGGAACATGCTTTTAGGAGGATTAGTGCTAGGATCCCTTATACTTTACCTTAAGGGCATGAGGACAATGATGTTCCAACTTTCTGGCTTCTACTGTAGAGGATCAGGGGCATGAGTAAGTAAGGTCATACGCAAGAAAACTCTTGTTATATCTACTTATAATTGTAACCTTAATTAAAGTATTTAAAACCCTACTTACTAAGTCCCTCGATCCTCCAAGTAGGCCGTGGGGTTTACGGTTTTGGCAGGGGTTGCACGGACGTAAAAGGTAGAGTTGTAGCAAGTGTTGGAAATTTGGGTAGCTTTGGGATCGGAAATATTCCAGCTTGGGGGGAGACCAGGATTCAGGAGTTTATTTGGGTTTGGGGAGTGTTGAGAGTTGAGCTTTCGAGTCTTAAACCCACACCCCTAAACACTGAACCCTAAGGTCCTGAACCCTAAACCCTAAACCCCAGAAGACCCAATGTACCAGCGTAACAGCAACTTGAAAGCCCTGCATACTCAAGGCTGCAACCCTATCAATCTTAGAACCTAAGGTCCTATAAACTCGACAACCCGTAGCTTAGAGCTAAATCCTCGGAATGGATTTCAAGCTTTCGAGGGTTGAGGTCCAGAGGTTTTAGGGGGTGCTTGCGGCGGGGTCTATACCGGACTAAATAGTTCATTTGCAAATGGGTTTTTAAGTAGGAAAAACCCGAAATAGGGGACTGATCAGACATACCCTACTTCGGGATCTTAACACCTGAAAGATAACCTTCATGAAACCCTCTGTGAAGTCTGCGGGAACCCCATGAAACCAGGCCCTTGATCCTGCAATTGAGGCCCAGGCCAAGCCCATGGAAGCGTGCATTCACGCAAGAGCCATGTGCGGGCTGACTTCGGCAAAGCAACGGAACAAGGGAGCTGGGGTTAGCTGGGGTTACCGGGATTCACATTGGGTTGGAGCTTGACTTATACAATACAAGCCAGTGGGAACAGCTCTGAATTAAATCCGCAATTCAGTGGAAAGCTAGTCTATCCGATGTAGTTGGAGGTTTCTACTTAAGGATTCAGGGTGGTAGGGTATGGGGTACAAGGATGTGTGCTTGTTCTGGGGATTTGGGGCTTCAGTGGGGGTTTCGGATAAAAGGGTTGCCAGATCTTGCAAGGTCTTCTGGTGCGGCTGGGATCTTCGCGAGTTTCATATAACGGCTGCAGAGTTCATCGCATGTCCCACAAATCGGCTTAGAACTTGCATTTTAATGGGATCATCCTTAAACGGTGCCATCAACATTACAGCAAGCGTTATCATAGTAGGAATGTTGTTCATCATGTAGCACATACGACAATGATAAGGACAACATGGGTTTACGGAAAAACTTGTGTTTCCCATGTTGGCGGACAGTTCTCAAATATGCTCTTATAGGATGAGAGAGTCATAGGCCTTAAAACCTAGTCAAATCTGAGCCCTGGACCCTCTCTCCACACACTCCACACCAGTCCCGGCAGGAGGTGGCCACGAGCGAAAAGGACACAACTGCCAAAGTTCCGCCGACCCTTGTGATGCTGTTATTCAACCACAATTTAAATAACTGCTGCTGGGTTTAGGGTACTGATCTCCGACCCTCCTGGCACCCTCACTACCTGCAGCGAACGTCCTCAAACCTCTTAATTATGGGAGCGAACACCCTCAACCGTAAGGAACCCAGAAAACGAACTCCAAATGCCAATACGCGCCCCGAAACCCTAAACTCTGGACCCCAAACTGGTGGGATGCTGAGCTCTTCAAGCAAGATGTATAACTGCCAAAACTTTAGGCATTGAAAATGAAAGGGCTTAGAGCTTTGAGGGTCTGTGTGTAGAGTTTAGGGCTTGTTAAGGATTTTGGGCTTGGTGCTTTGCATTCTCAACGGGCAAAGGCCTGAGGTTTCGGAGTTTTGAGGGTAACGCATTGTTGAGGACTTCGAGAGGTCAAAGCCTTAGTACTTAGTAGAGGTACTTTTCGCATTTTGGAGCAACTTCCAGGTGACTCTAGCGCCCTTCTAGCGTCCGCATTTAGTTGGAATAGATCTTCTCCTCGACTCTCGACCCCCTGCAAGCCATCCGGTAAATTTCTCACATCTGCTGCGCAGCTTGAATCAATCCCTCCCGCAGAGCCCAGAGCCTCCAAAACCCCTTAATAAAGGAATATACCTTAAATCATATAAGGGATCCTAATATAATTTAAGGTATATTCCTTAATTAAAGGGTTTTGGAGGCTCTGGGAGGAGGAGCTTCTCGGCCAGAAGCCGAACTGAAGGCTCTAGCAGACCCCAGCATGGGTTGGGTTGAAAATACTATAATTATTGAACTTAGAACCCTGGCAAAAATTACAAGTTTAGCTGGTTCTTAGGGATTATTAAACAAAAAATTAAATAGTATTTCTAAGTACACCTAAGAATACTCCATGTCGGGAGAAAGTCTGAAAAGCGACTACGGCGTCACAGTCGTCACCCCAACAACCCATGGATCTGTGCCGAGCTAATCAGCTAATCCAAGCCAGGGATTTGGTCAAGAGCCCTCACTGTACAGAATGGGACAAGATTGCGCATGCCCCCCGCGAGGCTTCAAGACCTTTGGTCTTGGGCGGTGTAGCTAGAATAGCTACGTTGGAGGTCTGAACCTCTTTGGGTTCCTCTACTCTAAAGCCTACAAAAGCTCTAAACCCTGAGCCCTTCCAAAACACGGGTTCTGACGGTTAGGCGACACTGGCCTGCAAGTCCTCACCGAACCCTTGATCCCAACACCCTACAAGCCGTCAAAACCCACTGACCCAAGCCTTCCACCGTACCCTGATACTACAGAAACCTTCATTCCAAGAACCATTACAGAAAACCTCATAAAGTTGGAAACCAGGTTAAGGCCACATAGTGCTGGGATTCCCTATACATTACTCTTAAGGATTGAGGCTATTGAGTTTCCAACTTTTAAGCTTCTACTGTACAGTAACCCTGGTGTCTAGAATCCCACACAAGCTCAGCGGCCGCTTCAGCGCCCGCCCAGCTCAGATCTTGCGAACGGACGCAACCTCCAAGACCGGGCATGCTTAAAGGATCAGGGGACTTAGAAAGTCGGGTTATAAGGTGATTATAGTTTTATCTTAAAGGATCGGGGGACTTAGTAAGTAGGGTTATAAGTAAGGTAATTATAGATATATCTACTTATAACCTTAATAGTTAAGGTACTTATAACCCTACTTACTAAGTCCCATGATCCTCCAAGTGTTAACGATCCTTTCGATGCTTCTCAGAGGCTCCGGGGCTTCTTTCAAGGGCTGAATGAAGGGATACGCGAAGGGGGGGTGCCTGAAGGCATCTACATGTACATAGCGTGTGTGTATGTGTGTATATATATATATATATATATATATTTATGTATTATACACACGTACATACATACATACATACATACATAAATAAAAACTTACATACATACCTACATACATACACACACATACATGCATGCATGCATGCATGCGTACAGATGTACACATGTACATGCACCCTCTGCATACATGATATCTCTATATCCGTTTAACTACACATATCACTGCTTGAAGTTCGAGGCTTAGGATCTCAGGTTTCTCAGAGGTGTTGTGGCACGATGTGAACAAATCTCTCCGGGACCGCAGGTTTAGGAGCATAGGGCTTCATCTACGCAGATCACGTCCGAACGAATCCCGAACCACGAAAGTCTCAACACACTACTCAGATGTCACTCTCAACTCACTACTCAGATGGCAATCGTGTACTGTGACCAAAGAACCGGCCAAGGCAATCATGCAGGATCGAATGTTCAGGGTCAAGTTTGAAGACGCCAACTTTTAATCACGAATCATCTTCAAGCACTTTCCCGAAACTCTCGGAGCCCAAAGATGCAGAGGCCAAAATGTCTTTGGGCGCCTCAAGGACGGACTGGCCCTCTAAACCAAAAGTAGACATCGGAGAGCGGCTGTTCCTTGCGAGGGTTCGGGTTTGGCCTTTAGGATATGTCCGGGCCGCAGTTCAGGTAGACATGGAGACAACAGCTGCTCTTAAGCGAGTGAACTTGGAGTTTAGGATTCAAGGACTGAAGGACTTGGATTCCCAGGGATGAGTTTGTGGGCAACTTTAGCTGCAGGATCGGGAGCCGAGTCCTGGTTTGAGCTTGCGAGCATAAACTGTAATATGCAATGAGTCGTGCGCGAAAGGCTCTTGTTCCCAAATCTTCGTCGCAGGTTCGGGGGCTTGCGGGATCAGCCTTCTGAGAATCCGAATTTCACGGCTTGGTCTAAGAGTTTCGCGTTTTCCCTTTGTCGTCTGGCAAAAGGACCGCCCCGGTGTGGTTACCACGACCCATGATCCTCATTCTCCCCTTTATAAGTGGAGTTGATCACGTAGTGATGAACAGAGTTCGGCTGTGCCAGGGTGTTTGATTCGTTGGAGCTGTGTCTCCACCGCTGCGTGAACCACCATCGACACTCTTCTGAAGGCTAGAACCCTAAACCCTAGCGTGGCCTGCAGCTGCAGGATCAAGAGGCCCTAGAGGTGCGATTTGGCCGCTGGCGTCTGACGTACTTGGCGGGGCTTCGGGTGTAAGCTTTAGGACTGCTAGGACCGGGTTAAGAAGCCTTGGTCCCCTCATCCCAAAAATTGCTAGGCTCTATAAACATGCAATGAGCACCATATAATTTAATAATGAATGTAAAGAGCACTAATACAGACTCAAGGTGTTTCTTATTCAGGTCCTTACAATAGATATGAGCAAAACTATCAGCAGAGGATTCACGAAACAGCTTAGAGATTCAGGTACGTAGCAACCTGCCCAGAAAGGGAACATGTTGCAGGCCAAAGAGCTTCTTCAGCAGGGAGTACACGGTCACACGCAGACGAGTGCATAAGCCGCTGTGGTCATGGGGCACCAGCAGCTTGCGATTTACCTTGTCGCAGACGAAGGATGAGCACAGAAGGGGCCAGTGGAAAGCCAGAACCCTGAAACCTTAAACCCCGAGACCCCTGAACCCCTAAACCCCTAAACCTCTAAACCCCAAACCCCTAAACCCTAAACCCCTAAACCCCAAACCCCTAGACCCCTAAACCCCTAAACCCCAAAATCCCTAGACCCTAAGCCCTGAGGCTAAGCGTCGACGTAGGTGAAGTTGTCCGCCCCGTCGCTCCCCTCTGGTAGCTCCAGGTTCCTTGTGCTACCGGTTGATGGTCTAAATCCTGCATTACCCTAGTAAGGAATATATAGGAAATATGGTATATTCCCTATTATGGGTAATGCTGGATTTATATCATCAACCGTACGGAGTGGTCGTTCCCTGTTGAAAACGTTTTGGGGGCTAGAATTGTGGATGAAGTGGTTTAGGCTTTAGGGTCGGATTCTGTACTAAATGACTATTTGAGGTGCTGTCTGTTTTCCAGACAGCTTACGATGGGCTTGCCTTTTGGGCTATTTAGGGCCCCCCAAAACAGCACATAAGCAAAACAAAGGATAGGGATATCCCACATAAAGCCCCCTTTTTGATGAAGCCCAAGGTAGGGGCATCCCCTTAAAATGCTTATTATGATGCGTATGTGCGTTTTGGTTCCCTACCTAATGGGGATTCGGACCTGGCGCTAAGGCTTCTTAGGTTTGTGAAGGTCGCGCAAGCTTGGGCGATAGGGGTTTAGAGGTTTAGGGGTTTGGGGTTTAGGGTTGAGGTTTTAAGGGCTCGTTTCAGGGTTCCTTGTAAGGGTTCCTATGAGGATTTCTATAAGGTTTCGGGGTTTCGGAACTTCGGCGTTCGGATTTGGGTGGTTGGGGCTGAGGGCAAATCGAAGGTGTAGGGATGATAGCTCGATCTGAACTGCTACGTTCGTCACAGGGGTTGGAAATGAACCCGGAAGAGAAATCACTACAGTCCACGTACATCGTGAGCAAGTGGGTTGCAGTGGCTTGGCTCAGAACTGTGCTTTTGAGCCTGTAAACCTTGGTCTCGAAAGGCTTTCATTCCGACCATTGACCAAGATCGTGAACCTGGTTCGGGGGTTCGTGTTGTGACGTATCCAGGACATCAAACTTGGCCTGTTGTGGTAGTTGATTCGGCAATGTAAATCTGATTCCCTTTGATCTGAACAATAGGGTTCCCGGATTCCCGGGGCTATAGCTTAGCATATCTATAATGGGCATGCCAGGGAGACAGCATTACGCAGCTTCTTCTGACCACTCTGTTGGAACATTAGCCCAAGACCGCTCTAAACTTAGTCTTGGGGTTGGGCTTTGTTGGATCCCGTACAGAGGTGCACAACTGCAGAGACAAGCATCCCCTCGTACGTCAAGCCTCGGCTGCATCACAAGCATCTGCGTCGACCCCTTTTTTGTGGTGTTTTGGGACCCAATCCTACATCTTACAGACTGACCAGTACATCCAGTACATTCATCCGCGGGAGTCCTAAACAGTAGACCCTAGGCCCAAACAGTATGAAAACCCTACACCTGGCTCCCCTTCGCCGCGCATCCAGGACTATGCCTGCCCTCAGACTTGAGCGCTTGAGAGCTCCATAACTGGGCTTTTAAGTAACCAGGGAGAAAAAAGTATAAACTTGCATTTCATAATGGTTCCTCTACTATTTACGAAGAAAGTATCAAATCATGGTGCTCCAAAGCACAGATAACGTCCAAATACAGAAAGCATGCCTAAGACCCGGCTGGGGTTTGAGAGTTCTGGGCCAGCATGTTAGAGCACAAAGAGCTTCACTACTACTACTACTACCACTACTACTACCACCACGACGACTACTACTACGACGACGAGTCGACGACGATGACAACTGGTAATTACAACCTGAAAGCCCTTTGCGAACACAATCAGAAGGCTTGTGTGAGTAATCTCGGAAACTCCCAAAGTACGAACGGCTTCACTGAAATACAGACACATCCTGCATGGAATGAGATAAACGCGAACTCGTCAGCTTCTACCGAATGGTCCGCAACCTGCAGGTAAAGCAACTCTAGACCCGGAACCTCAAACTAGTAGTTCCGCCTGATTTTGGGCTAGACTTTTGTTGTGAATATAATGAGGATCTCGAAGGAATAGGTTTTAGCAGCTATTCAGGCTTCTACATCGAAGCCTGGACCCAGTGCCTTTCCTTGCTGCATTGGCAATGGGCTCTGGGAACTCAATCGCCTTTCTAGCATCCCAAACCCTAAACCCCTTAACCCGACAACCCCTAAACCCGAAACCCCAAACCCCAAAACCCTAAGCCCGAAACCGTACATACTGTCCCCGGGTCCTGGTTACAGCTGCCTGTCTAACTACAGTAGAATGCTACTTCATGGACTTCACCGAATCGCCGATATTCTTCTGTGGCTTTGAATGTCTTTTTGTTTATTTGCGATGTACCCTCAAAATAATTTTCAGCCCCAAAACCTCAACGAGCTATCCGTAATTTGTATTGCTTCTGTATATAATCCGAGTGCTACTCTTCAAAACTACCTTGAGCAAACTGGAGGACTGCTCCCTAACTTCTGCGCACAGAATCTCAAGTATATCCATGCAACGCGCCTTTGGGGCTGAAGCACTCAACACTAAACCCTAAACCCCAAAGCCCCAAAACCCTGAACCCGGCAAGGCCCCCAAACCAAAACCACCAAAACCCCAAACCCTAAACCCCCAAACCCGCAAACCCCCCAAACCCAAGACCCTTCACACCCCTAAACCCCCAAAGCCCTAAATGGGCGGAAGCCCCCAAACCTTCGAAAGAAGCGGCTGGGTGTGGCCAGTCCTGGAGTGAAAAGCAGTGAGGACCAGGGTTACGGGGCTTATTCCTGGATGGTTTAACGGTTCAGGGTTTTTAGGGTCTAGCGGTTTAGGGTTTAGAGGGGGCGTTCGGCTGGATGGTGTCAGGTGGTTTTCTGTGCCTGGTTTTGAAGTTGTTTGTTTATCTTTTCACGCTGGATTTTATATGCGGACGGGGAAGGTTACCAGCAGAGAAGGATTAGTACCATGGCTTGGGGGTTCTATCACTTGCCTTTCCATGCCCAATGACGCTGTCCGTAATTTAAATCCTGAAACCTCGTATGAGAAGTCTATAACTTACAATACTACTACTACTACTACTACTACTACTACTACTACTACTACTACTACTACTACTACTACTACTACTACTACTACTACTACTACTACTACTACTACTACTACTACTACTACTACTACTACTACTACTACTACTACTACGTACTACTACTACTACTACTACTACTACTACTACTACTACTACTACTACTACTACATACTACATACTACTACTACTACTACTACTACTACTACTACTACTACTACTACTACTACTACTACTACTACTACTACTACTACTACTACTACTACTACTACTACTACATATGTACAACTACAACTACTGTATGGTTATGATGACTATTTGTATTGTTATTGCTACTATCATTGGAATGGGCTCGTCAGAATAAACATCTGACCTTTGCACGGGGCACCATCACCATGAGACCCGAAACCCACATGTACATGCAAACCCCACACACTCGCCCGCAATCAGAAACCGTAAACCCTGCCGGACCCTAAACCCAAAGGGTCCTACAGTAGAAGCCAGCAAGAAGATCCTCATGCCCGTAAGGTAAAGTATTAGAGATCCTAGCCCCAAGCCTCCTAAAGCCATGTTCCAACCGGTACCTACAGTACACAGTAGAACGTAGGATTGACATAGGAAGTTATGGTTCCGGTATTTATCCCCATACAGGTACTTAGGAGAGCCGTTGGGAAAGACCCTAGCCTGATATATATATATATATATATATATATATATATAGAGAGAGAGAGAGAGAGAGAGAGAGAGAGAGATTTCAGAGTATGCAAACCCCAAAATCGAGTATGTAGGGCTGAGCTGGCTCCTACACTAAAGACCCTACATGCCCTAAAACTAAGGTACATGGACACTTGAACCCTAAATGCCTAAATCCGAAAACCCTGATACAAAACCTTGAAGGAATGAAGCTGAGAAGTCTCTTGAATCCGTAACCCTGGACCCAAGGCTTAGGGTTCGGATTTCGGGGTTTCGGGTTTAAGGTTCCGCGGATTAGGGTTTAGGTGTGTGGGGACTTTGGGTTCTAGGGCGTAGGGCTCCATAAACACTAACTATGGTTTAAGGTTTAGGGTTAACAAACCTCAGGAAAAACAGGATTAGCATAGGGGAACATAGTGAGTCGGCTATATGCGGCATACTAGAAACTTACAGACCAAGGCTCGACGCGGAGTCCCGTAGTCCAGCAGTTGCATTGCCAGTTCCTGCCAAGTTCGGGGCTTGGCACCGCAAAGATGCTCTCCGCACGTACTACGTACTATGCTATAACATCTTAAGATAGTGCAGTATAGGATGTCAGAAGGACATTATGGGGACACTGTAGGATCTCTCAGACAGCGGGTCACGAGAGCGCATCAAGCTGGGTTCACCACTCGCATCACATGACATGAGTTGAGCTTGTGGCGGAACAAAAACTTCTGCATGACTTGGTGCTGGGGTTGCCTACTCGTTTAAGAAGAAGGGAAGGTTGCTGTTGAAGGAAGCAAGAACTGTAGCTGTTCGACCTTCCAGGATGTAGGGATTCTTCAGGTTTAAGCATTCGCGGATATGGCTTACATGTCAATGGTCTTTTGTTGATCTCCCCTGCTTCCATCTGCAGGGACTGTGTCCGGAAAGTGTATACAAACCGAGCATCGCAGCCTGCACCAGAGGTGGCAAACACTCTACCATGATCGGGTTTAGGGTTGAGGGTTTACGGGCTATGGCTGGTTATGACTAATGCCTGAGGGCTGCAACGGCTTATACCAAGGTCAGGTTGCCAGGCGTGCACAAAATCAGGCACACACAGATACGTTGATATTCCGAATCCGTACGGATTTAGACTTTAAAGGATTGGTTTCGGGCTGCTGGTATGATGGGGTCCAGCTCAGACCACAATAAGCAGGGCTACCCTCCACAAACATAACTCATCCAATTATCTACCGCAAACCTCGAAGAACCCCCTGATACCGACAGAACTAGATTCCAAAGGCATAAACGCTCTAAATCCTGTCTGAACCTTTTCGAATGCCCCTCAGACATTTGACGTGACTGATATGCTGGTCCGAAAGCCCCTAAACACTGAACCTAAGCCCTTCCTTAACCCCAAATGTCCTACCCTTTTTAAGGACTTGTATAAAGAAATCATATTAGGGAACCCTAAAAAAGGTAGGTTCCTTAGGGTCCAGGTTGAACAAAAACTGAAAAGCCCTCGCCGCTCCCCGGCTGCAAGCTTGCTATGCAGGTCGAAGCGGGCCTGCCGTTCTCACAGGCAAGTCTCTGGGATCCCAACGGCTTATGCATGGATGGGCTTTCTATGGGCGTTACCGAAAAGTAGGGGTACCTTATTTTGGGGTCCTTATATTATTTTGGGGTCCTCATAATAGGGATCCTACCATATAGGGTACTAAAGTAGGGTCCCTATTTTCAGAAACTCCCATCTAGTGCTTCATCGCAAAGGGAGCAAGGATGTTGGTAACCCACGTGCGCTGCTAGCCACGACCCCAAATCCACGACGTCGTACACCCCACACATCCGAACCACGGTACCGTCATTTGAAACACCCAAAGCCTTTAGGGTACTCCGTCCAATATCCCAGACCTGCTAGTGAAAACTGAACCAGTGGCACCGAAAGACCAACGTCAGGGGATTGGGTGGAAAAGTTAAAGTCAAGGGTGATCAGGGCTTACTATGTTTTCGGCATGAAATCTAAAGCTCCGGGTGTGGAGAGGTTGTAAAGTCTTGCACGGAAGAGGATGTGCAGTGTCTGCATGTGTCTGAGGTTTGTAATGAATCAGGCTTACTGTTAGGGGGCCCTCACCGTAGTACAAGTGGAATTATAGCCGTGTTACTCAAATGCTAGCGGGATTTAGAGGGCAAGTCTTGAGGCTTCTATACGGAACCAGAAGCCAAGGCCTGAAAGCCCAACTGCCAGCGCACTTGACTACCGCTGAAACTACATTGGGATCTCTATACAGGGCCAACGCTGAAGCATGAACTCTAACCTTACCAATCCCAGAAAACCCCGCCTCACTTCAACCTTCATCACAACAACATCCCAAAATCCTGAACCCCAAAAAACAAAACCAGAAACCTCAACCTGACCCCCTACCAAATCCCCCGAAGTCCTGATCCACACAAACAAAGTACCTAAACCTTACAGTAACCCCCAGACAATCCCCAAATCCTGGATCACAAAACCCAGAGGGTCCATAAACACTACTATTCTGGAATCAGGCCCTGAAAGACTATCCCCATTATGGTTTTGGGGGCCTAATTCCATAATAGTAGTGTATATGGGACCCTCTGGGGGAAAAAGGGTTTCGGGTTTTAGGGTTTAAACTCCATAATACTAGTGTGCAGTATGTGGACCCTCTGGGAAACCAAGGGTTTCGGCTTTTAGGGTTTACCCGCCCCGCCGGAGTCAACGGCTCCGCGTATCCGAAGCGGAAGGTGGCGCACCATAAGCCTGGCATGCCACCCAAGGGGTCCTAACTGCTTATAAGAGGTCCTTAAAGGGCTCCTTTAAGGGTTCCCTTAAGGGCTGCTTTTGTGGGAGGGGGAATCTTTAGTATTAACCAACAAGAATGATGGTAATTCCTACGTATGGGAAACGCTACTTTCCACCAGGAACCCTGTGGGCTGGTGGGCTCGCAGACCCCCTAGCGGAAGTTCAGAGAACCTGGTGTCTCTGAGTGTTTCTTGTAGGAAATAGTACTGAAGGCGTTAGGATTTCTAGGTACTGGGTTAGGATTACAGACCTGTCCAACCCTATCGTATTTTTAATTGTGCCGCTTTTTAAGGGCTTGTCACATACACCTCAACTTTGACGGTGAAAACTTCGGGTGAACAGAGACCCCAGCATAAAGCCTGCAACAACGGATCCGCATTGTAGGGACCTCTGAAACGAAGCACCCCGAACTCAAGAAGGACGTTCCCAATATTCGTCTTGACGGTGACAACTTGGTCTGAACCCTAAACCCTACACTCTAGGCCCCTAAGCCCCATAAAACCCCTGAAACTCCAATAGAGCCCTTGTAGATCCTCTATACCTTTAGGGTTTAGGGTTTACAGGAACCCCAAAAACACCCCATGCTTCAAAGATGGAGATCCCGGGGGGCGCTTGTTGGGTCAGGGAAGCGGCTGTCGTAAGAATACAGCTTAACGGTTTAGGGATTACCCTAAGGCCCCATAGTAGTTCCTTTTGGGGGTTCATCCTATAAGGTAATCCCAAAAAGAAACTACTGTGCGGCCTTAGGGATTAGAGGTTGGGGTTGATGTCGTAAGAGATGAACTCAAAAAGCATAAACCCAACCCCACGGCTAAAGCTACGGACTCTCTCATCTTATGGGCTCAACAAGCAGGGCTAAGCCGAGATAACTGGTAGCTAGCGGGTTCAGCCCATACTTGTTTTCACTACGATGTTGGGGAGAATGGCGGAGGTAAAGGTAAGCCCCAAAACCTCGTATGAACCCTGACAAGCCTCAAATCCGAAGCTCGCACTGTAGGCCGTACTCTGCTTGGAAGCCAAACAAATGCTGCTAATTGATGCACAACACTAAAGTCTGGCCGAAGGAGGGTCTGGCAAGTCCGGGCCTAGAGATTGATCCTCCGCCGAGAAAACGACCCGCTCTGTTTCCAGCACGAAAGGCTCGTCACTGTATTCCTGGGAGAAGCTCTACGTTCCGGGGTTCGGGCTGCGGTATGCAGGATTTCAGCATTTATGATTTTCTAGGCCTCTCTTCCGTCCACTGAGACCGACAAAAAATGACGGGTTTAGGAATTGGGGGTTTATGAATGTGGGATGTATGTTGGGGAATTTGTTCTGAAGTGCTTCCTGGCCTAGGACCTGGCCCCTTTGGACGTAGCACTGTTGGGGTCGCGGCTTGTTTGTGGCTCACTCGAAGTGGTATCCGGGATTCACGCTATAATTTCAAGCGGTATTCAATGCAAGGTGTATCTGCGCTTTCTGGGGACGTGGTGGTGGCATGCCAGATTCATCCCAAGTCGCTGACACGAACCTTGATCATCCGCACACATTTGCTCGTGCCGAAAGGACCGTCACGACTACGCACCCTCGTTTTGCATCCCTGTAATGTGGCAGTTTAGAGTTGCGGATAGGGTTTGCAAGGATTATGGGGTAGTCAGTAGTTTCTCCTCACGTGCTCGCTTGACCCCTACGCAACTTGGAACAGATCTGAACACGAGATCGCGCCAAGGTTCGATGTGCAGCAACACGATCCTGGGACGGGGAGTCCGTTGGAGGTTGGGTTCAGGGCTTTATTGAGAGTTTATTGCTTGAGGTTCGTGGTTCAGAACCTAGGATTTGGGGTCCTGAGTTTGGGGTTAAAGAACTTAGAGCCTAGGGTTGAAGACTGAGGGATCATGAGGCCCTGAACTGCTGTTCCCCGTGCCTAGCTGCAGAGCCAGTGCGTCTACAAGTCCGACCTCTCCTCCGCCCACTCTCGCTAGTCTATGGGTGCAGCCGCTACAATGTGGTAGTTGCTTCCGTTGCTCCCCCTCTTTACTTCTGCTAGTGAGATGATGATGATGATGACAATGATGACACCTTTGCTGGTGAAGGGCATTATAGTCCCCGGAACATTCCGAAAGGCATGCTTGCTAATACAGGGGCCGTAATAATTGGAGTGGAATGGTGGGGGTATATCACAATACGATTATAGCTAGTAAACTACGCTGAGGAAGACTATTCGCAATTATTCAGGCTCTCTACCTAGACCTTCGATCTAACCTCTATTCATGTATTCAAGACTCAGACGCCAAATACCTACTATTTGCCCCTGTTCCAGGGCAGTTTCTTCTCACCGCCCCTAAACCCGAATTCTTCAGGCTCTGTATGGTTCTCACCGCGGCACGTTGCTGGCAAAGCCCCGAGCTTGGTTGCAATGGTGGAAAGGCCCACCGGCACCCGTCCTGCTCCTTGGCGATTGCGGGGTTTCTACCCCAAGGCTCTAGAGACTCATGTGTTAGGCTTTGAGCCCAAAGACCATTCTACTTACGGCTCTATTTTGAGCCTTCGGGTTCAGGTTTAGGGTTTGTTGATGTTCATGATTTCGGTGCCATGGACGGGGTGTCAGTCTCACTACACACAGGGCTTCATAGGCCTGAAGCAGTCTATGATGCTTTGCGAGTTCTGCTGAGGCTTCAATGTTTCAGAGACCCAGAATCGTATTCCATGCTAACCCCAAAGCCCCTACAGCTCCACGAGCTCGACCCAAGGTCTCAATGCTTCAAGCGTTCTGAAACATGTAACTATCTTTCGGCTGGCCCCTGCACATTTCGAGCCTATTCAGAGACGATTGCCACTTGGATCATGAAGGCCCGAAACAGGTGTCATCTCTGCCTTACGTGCTTCTACGGGCCGAAGAAGCAACCCATCAGCCGACAGAGCCCATGCAAACCCAACACATTTCATTGAAGGACATCGAACCAGCCAGGAATACAAAGACAAGACAACTCGAAGAAAGCCAACCGCTAAATCCCAAACGACCTCAAGTGCTGACTGCGCAGGCCAAACAGGTTCACTCTCGAAACGGCCCCTCAGAGCAGGCGTGCTTCGAGTCAACCGGTACACACCCCGGGTTTCGGGTTCAGGATATTTGGGGTAGGACTTCCAGGAATGAGGAACACGCATCAGTATAGAGTGTTGGGTCAACTATTTTTGAACCACCCGGACCTAAATGCCCTAGTTACTTCACCTTGAACAACCCCGCAGCTAAACCTGCACCCTCGAAGACCCAGAGCCATACCCCCTGCCTGTAGCCCTAAACTCCCTGGTGCTTAGTAGGGAATGGGGGAATGGATCTCTATAGTAGCCCCTATATAACCCCCAATAACCGTCTCCATAATCCATCCCCCAATTCCCCACTAAGTCCAGACAGAAAGCCCTACAAAACATGTCGCAACGCCAAAACTACAGGGTGCCCCTAGGAATAACAGTTCAGTGGATCCATAGAAGTGACACTGCCGAGCTGCTGGGTGTCAGGAAAACGGCAGTGCCTCAAGAAACGAATCAGTTGGGTACTGCCCCCACCCACTAACTAACAGTCTATATTAGAGTCATAATCAGGTCTCTCAGTCTCTCTCCCCTCTCTCTCTCTCTCTCTCTCTCTCTCTCTCTCTCTCTCTCTCTCTCTCTCTCTCTCTCTCTCTCTCTCTCTCTCTCTCTCTCTCTCTCTCTCTCTCTCTCTCTGTATATATATATATATGTAGAGTCTTGTAAAAGTATGATTTTTCAGCTGTTGCCAGTTGCAGAGTGGGGGCACTACCTAACTAATCAGCATCCTAATCCGACGGTTTAGGGCATCCTTCGGGTTCTTAGAAAGCGTTCCTTTAAGCGTTCGTTCATACAAGGAGTTCCTGAACGACTACGGTAGAGGGTTTGGAGAAACTCTAATGTCCATCCCAAACGCGAATCGTAAACCCTAACTCCCACAGAGCAAAGCTCTCGGAGAGGAATCTAATGCCACCCACACCCTGAACCCAATCCCCGAAATCCTAGCTGAACCTTCCACGACAGAATTCAAAATCCACTGGACCTCTCTGCCAGAATGCTACCGGCAAAGCTGGGCCTCGGGTGTACACTATACACTCCTTAATACTGTCGAGTAAACGCCTAAGGCAAATCCAACCCTCGAGTCAAGAACCACCATAGGTATAGGAATATATCCTTCATGAATATACATGCATACATACATACATACATACATACACACATACATACGTAAAAACGTACATTAGTACATGCATGCATGCATACACACATACACATACATACACACATACACACATACAAACATGCACACATACATACATACATACATACATACATACATACATACATACATACAAACATACATACAATAATACATACATACATACATACAGACAGACATACATAACCATTTACCTACCTGCATGCATGCATATGTACGTACATACACACATGCATACATACAGGCGTACACACATGTACATGTTTTGTATATGCACGCGTTTACATATTAGTGAATGCATAGGTGTGGGTATTAAGTATGTTTATCTGTATACATATATATATACACATATACATATATATATATATAAACAGATATACATGTATGTGTATACACATATATTCGCGTATGAATTTAACATTATAATATCCCACCCTCAAGGGTTTAGGGCCGGACTTAGGTTTCAACACTTTCTGTTTAGCATGCTCTTTCTAATTTTGCCGCCCCCCACACAAGACATTCCATAACAATTCCCTCAACCCTGAACCGTAAACTAACCCAGAGCCCCCCCCTCCCCCACACCCTGAAACCTAAACCCCTACACCCTAACCCCCCCCCCCCCCATACCCTGAAGCCTAAACCTAAAACCCCTTAAACCCTAAACCCCCCCAAACCCTGAAGCCTAAACCCCAAAAAACACAACGGCCCTGAACCTCGTTGCATCTCGGGAGCTCTTCGTCCGCAGGAGCTGCCCTTGCCGCAGAACATTTTTCAAGCCTCCGCGAGATGAGAGTTTGCGAAAATAGGGGACCCTAATGTAGTACCCTAAATAGCAGGATCCTTGTTATAAGGACCCCACATTCAAGTACCCCTATTTTCGGAAACCCCTAGATCACAACTCCCAGGGTCCCAAGGACCCAAGAATTAGGTACTCGGTTTTGGAAGAGTAGATATGTAGGTTAGGAATTTGGAGAGTATATGATTATTGGGTACTTGGACCCTTGGGACCGAAGGAACCTTGCAGGGGTGGGGGAGAGGAAGTTGGCGACTGTACGGGTTTAGGGTTTAGGGTTTAGGGGTTTAGGGCCCTATCCGCCTATGGGGCCAACTTGTGATCAGAGGCATTGCAGGCCGGAGGGCATACGCACGTAAAATTTGGCAAATAAACATTGACTGGAGCATTCAGGCGATCAAGGCTGGTGAAACTACAAGCAGCGGCGTGTCTGACTTTTCTCAAACCGTTTTGTTTTTGGTTCTTTGATCGACAGTTCAGCTTTCGGTTTGGGAGGTTGCGGCAACGGGGCCCCTTAAGCTACCACACTGAAACTGTTATCAACACTTTGCTATCTGCTACTGGTCAAAGGATCGGGGCACATAGTAGCTCGGTTAAAGGAGTCATACGTAGGACAACACTCGGGCACGTTAGAGCTATCAGTGGTGGGTCGTGGTTGTGATAGCCGCAGCAGGACCGCAAACGACGCAGGTGCTTAATCGTCTGACCATACACTCCCAAACCTTTCATCATGCAGGTGTGCATGTGCGTGCGAGCCTCTGCTTGTACATGTGTGTCTACGCATCCATGTTCAGCCTTCGTGTCTGATCTACTTAGAGGTTCATGGGACTTAGTAAGTAGGCTTATAGCAAGGTTGTTGATTATTAAGGTGCCTATAACCCTAATTACTGAGTCGCATGATCCTTTAGAATTTAAGTATGGTTCCACTCAAATTTAAGAAATGACAATCGACCCACCCTTTGCATCAGTCCGGTTTACACATGCCGGGAACAAGTCCCATATTCTGACAGGTTCCCTTGGGTTCCAGCGGATGTCCTCATAGTTTTTCGAGGCGCGTGCGTTCTCTTCATACTTGTTGGTTTAGGGTTTAGAGGTTTAGGGTTTAGGAGTTTTAGATTTTGGGTTTTCTCCGTGGTGGCATTGGGGCGGCACCCCGTTGGCGCACTGTGTATGCTGTATGCCACTAATAAGTTAGCCAGATAATGGTTCCTTTAAAGGGGGCCTATAAGGGGTTGATGCTTTGGAGCACGCCAGCTAATTATCCTGAAACCTGTAGGCGCCCCCAAAGCCCTAAACTTTTAGGCAGCGCTAGAGCCAAAACCTTAAAACCCAAACTTACACCATCGAATACAGATCCTATGTCCGAATTTCTATTCCCAGTAACTGTGCCGCACAACACTAAACCATGAACTGCTAAGTGGAACCCCGCACTGCCAAATGAAACCCCATGCAACCCCTAAAGCCTGAACCCGAAAGCTTAAAAAACACTAAAACCCGCAAGCCCAAAGCCTTAAACCCAGCACCTTCAACCGGGAACAAACCCTTCAGAACTTACCTTTGGTGAGTAGGGAAGGGAGGAATGGGGTACAATTATAACTACTATTACTACCTTTCTTCCATTCCCTACTAACCAAAGGTAAGAGAAGCGCATGCTCAGGAGCCTTGCAAGGTACAAACGCCGAGGCCGAGCCTCCTGTTCAGGGTTTGGGGTGTTGGCGATCAGCTTTGAAGAGTGTGAGGCCGAGGAAGGTTGGGGCTCAGGGATTGAACAAAAAAAGAACCGCACATCCTCGACCCTACTTCCTGAGATTCTGAACAGAAGGATCCCACAGGAAACCTTGCACTTCCGCGCACTGCGAGGTCATCTTGTCAGCATCTACAAAGAGGTTTCGATCGTGCAACCAGCTTTAAGGCAGACGTCTATGCTAATGCATCCCAGCAGTTGTTCGGTTTTGGGCTTGCTGCTCAACTACACTGCGGATTGGCGTTATGAATCGTGTGTTTTAGCATGGCCTTGCAGGGTTTGGGCTTTGGGAGGGCTTGCTAGATTCGAGAACTGAAATTTCACGCTTGTCAATCTGTAAACCTCAAAACTCGAAAAACTCAGAGTTTAGCGTTGCTCCATATCCGAACCCTTCTGGCCTCGTTCCGTTGTCAAGTATCGGATTATGTGGCACCATTTTAACTTTTAAACCCATCGGCCCATCAGCCCTTAATCCTGCGCTCTTCGCACCTTTGCAGCTTACAGTGACATGAAAAGGTTCACAGCTGTCTTGGACTTCGGTCTCAGGGTTGCCTTAAACAAACCTGCCTGGCTTAAGACCTTGGGAAGCCTCCTGCAGCTGCACAATCAATCACGAGCCCAAAGAATCTTTAACCCGAAACCCCAAACCTCTTCACCACGAAACCCTCAGGAAGCCACCACCCCAACTCGGGTCTCCGAATACCCGCTGGAAGATATTGATATGATGCACAGCGCCGAGAAAACAGAAGACTCTCGGACACAGGACACCAACTTCTTCGCCGTCCTGCAAACTTCCCTAAGGTTGAAGTTTACAGCATCGGAGAAATGTAGCTTCTTCAAGCTTGGGGTCTACAGCATGGGAACATTCTGGTGCTGACCGAGTGTCTGCTGCGAGCACATCTTCGACAGCTCGTCCTCCTCCTCCTAGAGGCCCGAACTCCAAACTTGCAAAGCTTAAACCACACTTAGAGGATCATGGGACTTAGTAAGTAGAGATATAGGTACCTTAATTAGGGTTACAAGTAGATATAACTATATGTACCTTACTTATATAATCCTACTTATCAAGTCCCCTGATCCTCTAAGTAGACTTAGCCCCGGACCGGGACCCAAAACACCCCGACCATGAGTCGGCGTTTACCTGTACTCACTGCTGTGGCTTGCGTATATCAGGATCCAATGGGGCTCCTCCCGCAAGGGTGGTCCTCCTTACGCCCCCAAGGAACCCACACTTTTTAACAACAGTGCTGGCTCGTTGTAGGCTATGTAAACGAGTAACCTCAGAAGTCAAGGAACCAGTTCGTAGATGGTACCAATCCGGCATTTACCGATGAAGGCCACCACCAACAACACCACGACGACGACGGCTATGACTGATCCTCCTCTTCCTTCCGCAACAAGAACAACAACCACTACGACGACACTGCGACCACCACCACCACCGCCACCACCATCACCACCACCGCCACCACCACCACCACCACCACCACCACCACCACCACCACCGCCACCGCCACCACCACCACCACCACCGCCACCACGAGCACCACCACAATCACGACCACAGCCACCACCACGAGCACCACCACCACCACCACCACCACCACCACCACCACCACCACCACCACCACCACCACCACCACCACAACAATCAGCACCACAACCACTACCACTAACCCCCTCGACCTACTACGCTTGTCAAGCCAGGGTTCTGGAAGCTCTTGCACCATCGACAAGTGCAGATATTAGGCAACGAGAAGTGGTAGGTCATTACGAACGCACCGTAAATACCAGGTAAATGCATGTGAGCGTACAGAGTCCCAACTACCTCCACCCCCCAACCCCCCACGCCCCCGAAACCTCCCGACATCCGAAGCTCGAGTTCGCAAAGTCGACAAGTGGATTTTGAGGCAGCAAGAAGTGGTAGGACATTGCGATAGTAAAGTAAATACAGAGTAAAACTAATTAATGTGCTCTTGAGATGGTTTAGAGACCACTACAAGTACGACGACGACGACGACGACGACGACCACGACGACGACGACGACTACTACTACTACTACTCGTCCTCCTCCGACTCCGACTGCTACTGCTACTGCTACTACGACGACGACCACTACTGCTACTGCTACTGCTACTGCTACCACTACCACTACCACTACCACTACCACTACCACTGCCACGACGACGACTACTACTAGTGCTACTGCTATTGCCACAGGACTTCTCCGGGACCGATGGCCGACAACCACCATCATTAAGCGTCCTGAACCTGCTGCGCCATCTCACATTGGCGGCCCCATTCGTGCGTATGCATCAAGAAGAAGATGGTGCCTCAGTTGCTGCCCGACTTCAAGCCCTTGTGGGAGCTACCGTCTTTGTGACTATCGGTTTCGTTTGCAAAGCCCACGACGAAGAGAGCGGTGGCTAGGGAGCGGCAGGGGTGCTGTGACCTCCCCCTGAATCCCATAAACCATAAGCGATAGTTATAAATCCCTAAAGCCAGCCCTAAACCCGGACACCCTAAACCCTGTAACCCTTGAGCAGATAGTTAAAAAAACTGATACTTAGAGGATCAGGGGACTTAGCAAGTAGGGTTATAAAGTAAGGTAACTATAAATATGTCTACTTATAACCTTAATTAAGGTACTTATAACCCTACTTACTAAGTCCCATGATCCTTTAAGTAGACCCTGAAACCCTAAACTCTGTAACTTAAATCCTGAAACCCTAAACCCTGTAAACCTTGAGCCGATAGTCAAAAAACACCAATAATCAATAAGCGGATTAGGGTTTAGGGTTTAGGGAGCAGCCTGCCACTGCCATCGGCAACCAGCCGGAATCAAGCAATTTCAGGAGGTTGGCGCTCCTGGCACGGCTTCGGGGTGTAGGGTTTAGGGTTCCTTTAACGGGTGCCGCATGGTTTAGGGTTTTGGGTTTAGGGTTCCTTTGAGGGGTGCTTCAAGGGACGAAAAAGCAGCGTCTTCGACGGGTGTAGGGCTTCTGGGACGCACAGAAGGCAAGTTACTACAGCTTCAGGGCTGCATGAGATCAGCACCCGTCATGATACAAGAGCAACGCAGGGAGGCAAAGGGGCAGGGGCCGGTTATCGAATGTTGTCAGCAAGCTACTCCTGTTACCAGCAATCTGTGGCCCGTGGTCGTTCAGCACGCCACTGTGCGCTACCTATAGTCTCCATTATAGTTTCTTTTTTGGGTTTAACCAGTTACATATTCAAGGTCCTATAAGGTAACGCCAAAAAGGAACTACAACGGGGACTCTAGGTAAACCCTAAACCCGACAGGGGAGTCCAGAAGACGATGTCCACGGTGATCATCGGCAGCACTGCCAGAAGAACCTTATCGCAACTCAGCCCGTGCTTTGCCAGCCTCAAAGGGCCTCCTTGCTGTTACAATGGGGTCTGTATATTATACCATAGCTATAATAAGGAACCCCCAAAATTAGTATTGGTAATTATTCAGGCCCCTATAGTAGGCTAGGGTTTTAGGGCTTCAGGGCTTCATGGTTTAGGGTGTAAGGCAATTCCCGCAGGTTTTCACAACATATGGTTATGAAGTGGCTTCTTGCTGACGGATGCTTTCATGATGGGATTGCTGAGCATCCGGATAAAGTGTTGGACTGTTCTAGCTATGCAATTAGAACTAATGGCATAATGTATTCACTCACATCCTGTACAACAAGCGCAACATGCCTGAAGATCAAGACTCACATGGCAGCCCAGTCGCGACGCAAAGATTGCAACCCCAGACCTTGGAGGTGTGCATGTCGAGTGTGTAAGCCTTCATGGAAACTAGAATTGCTACTTTGGGTGTAGTACATTTGCTATACGACGAAAAAGCTGAAACAAGTATTTTGGGTTTAGTATACTGTCCTCGAAATCTAAAGGCCGCTACCCCCACAAAGATTGCACTATGGTAGGTGTGAGATCCTGTGAAGAAAGCGGAGTTGTTCGAACTTGGGGTCCAGTTTAGCCTGTCATGTATAATGGCCTACACCCTGCATCTAGACCCAAAGCCCCCGGAAGTCTGACTTGAAACCGTGAATCGTCTTCGAGGGCACCACTGCAATCCCTTCCCACAGGGTCCAAGCAACAGCACTTAGAGGATCATGGGACTTAGTAAATAGGGTTATAAGTCAGGTAACTATAGTTGTATGATCCTTCAAGTGTGATATGGACTTTTTGGCCAAACTATCTACTACAAGCCTACTGTACTGGTGCTTGAACCGTTTAAGATGATGGTCGGCAGATCATGGAGCTCTGCACTCGTACGCTGTGGGCAGTGATGCTTGAAGTATAGGAATCTTCTTCAAGCCCGAAGCCGCTAGGTGGACCGAAAGCCCGACAGTCGAACTTGAAGGAAATCTCTGGGACCGCCCTAAACCCTAAACCCTAAAAAAGGTTTAGGGTTTAGAGTTTGAGACCCATAAGCGGGTTTGGGGTTCAGGGCTGGAGGCCAAGAGGCTCGCCAAAGAACCCAAAAGAGGAGCAGTGTGGTGAAAATGAACGCGCCAGTGACGGCGATGCCTCTTCGGCTGATGCAGATTTTGGAAGTTGAAGATGCTTCTGTTTTGGTTCCTAGGGGGGATGTAGGCATGAGGAGTTTGCATTAGGTTTCAATCTCCATGATCTTCACGCCTTCAGGGCCCGAATCTTTATGCCACAGCCGACTACAAATACCCTATACCCCAAGTCAGAACCGTGAAGCCAGAACCCCAACTCCAAACCCGAAGCCCCAATCGCGAAACCCGAAGCGCCCCGAACGCTAAACCCTACAAGAATCAAGTATCCTACCTTTTCAGCGATCCTCAGTCTGCACCCCCCTTAGAACCATAATAAAAGTAATAGTTTTGATATTCTCTTCTATTTTATATGAACAAAAATACATATTAATTCCTAAGGAGACGATTGCCCATAATTATTGATTATAGGTTCTTGAACTGCCAGGTTCTTTAGGGTGCAATACGGCCCTGAACCTTCGGAGCCGCACTGCCACTACGGAAGGCTTCAATGGCTTATGGTGCAGAGTTGGGGTTTAGGATCTTTAGGGTTTTGGGATGAGGGTTTTGGCTTTAGGCTTCAGTGTCAGTTGCTTGGATCCCATTTCTTCGGAATCCCTATATGGGAGTTTCCGAAAATAAGGGACCCTAATATAGCACCCTAAATAGTAGGATCCCATGGATGTCTGGACCAGGATGCAAGCTGTGAGAGCCGTAGAACCTACGAAACAGTCAAGCACTCTTCTTGCTGTAAATGGGCTTCTGTTGTCCAGGTTCTGGCGTTGGGAAAACAGTCTTCAGTTGAAATGTGCCCACAAAGCTTGAAGCGTGTACTTACCTGCTCCACCACGATCGCCAAGCACAGGGGACAGCGGGAAGGACCGTCGATTCTCTTTCAAGCAGCCGGGAACGTCATGTGAAGTACAACAGACAGGACAAAGGCCCACCAACAAAGGGAATTGTAAGATTGAAACCTGATGATCAAATGCACAAGCTGCCGTAGGCTGCGACGAGGTTGTCTGAGGTTCGGAAGGCGAGCGTGACGATGATGCAGGCCTTTAGCATACTGTTTCGGTCATACCACTTAGAGTCGTCTTTGGGGATATATCATCATAGGACAACTATATAGGGAAAACTATTACTGCTTATGCACGCCCCTTCACTCTAGCGGCCCTAAACGCTAAACCTTCTGTTGTTTCGATGAGCTTTGGATACTCTAGAATCCGGAGCCTCGGGGGTACGGTAAGAAGGATGAGAGGATGAAGGCCCTTCCTTCCGACTGAGCTACAGAAGCCGGATTCTTCGATGGTCCCTCTGTGTTTTCGTCTCGAGCTGCTGCTGCCGAACCCCAAGAGGTTTAGGCGGGGAAGAGCTTCGAGGAGGAATGCCTGCAATCCCGAAACCTTACACCCCGAACTCCCTGAAACCACCGTGAGCGCTTCATCCTCGGCCCTTAACCACTGGTTCCTAAAATAAGGAAGCCCAAAACAAGAAGAAATTAGAATCCCCAACCCGCTGACCCTAATCCCTGAGACTTAAAACCACGGTCTTAGCTATGCGCTGCGTGGGCTTCAGAGGGGACACGGTGCTGTCTCCCGTCACCGTATTCTTACTGGCAACGAAGACCTGAAAACCGAAGGGTCCCTTAGCCCTCGTCCTGAAGTCTCAAAGCCAAGAGCCTGATGCTTGTGACGGTCAAATGTGGTTAGGGTTTAGGGTTTAGGGGTACGGTTCAGGGCCTCGGGTCTAGGATGGACGGTCTTTGGGTTTTCCCTTGGCACGGGTTGTCGGTGTCTAGGTCGGGCCAAACATGTGGTAACGTGTGGATACAATTCTGCCCAGCCGAGCAACGGTCATCAGAATCCAGTTGACTTCGGGAATGTAAACCTGCACCCGTGCACCCGCCCACGACACGTCCAAAACCAACACCAAACCCCAAACCCTGAACCCTTGGACCTAAGGAGACTGCTGAATTTAAAGCCGAGGTAAGCTCTCAAACGCTGTGTGGTTCCCCCAAGCCCTGAACCCTAACTTGAAATCCGAGACCGCCGATGTGCGGAATCACAATCCTAGGAACCGCTTTGCTTCCTTCTCTAGACTCAGCTGACTTCTGAAACCCTCCTAGATTTTAAACTTTTAAACTCCTTATTATACAATTCATATAGAAACCCACAGAAGTTAAAGTTCTAAGAGCCAACCAGAAGAAAACCCTAAACCCTAAACCCAAAATCCAAAATTCTAAACATTAAACTCATAACCCTAAACCCTAAACCCATAACCCTAAACCAGAAAAGAGGCCTTGGGGGCCCTCTGAAGTCTCCATGGAGGAATCTCCGGGCTCGGATCTGGGAGCTTCCGACAATTAGGGGTACCGAATTTGGGGGGGTCCTTATAATAAGGATCCTACTCTTTAGGGTGCTATACTAGGGTTCACTAGTTATTTCGGAAGCTCCCATCTGGGGGCTGCAAGAGCTCGCAAGCTGTGACGTTTTGCTACGATTTATGGGTTTGAGTGGGTTTCTGGAAGGCTCAAGGTGACTTTGTTAAGTGCTCTTTGGTTTGCGGGGCTGTCTAAGTAGATTTCTTGGGGCTTTGGAATCAGCATTAGAGATTTCTCGTCTGGGGACGGTGCCTGCCCCTTCTCATCAGGGTTCGTGTGCAGGACAAGCAGTCGCGGCACCTGAGAAAGTCTTCAGCCATGGAGAGAATCGCAAAACACCTAAACCCTAAACCCCTAAAACCCTAAACCCCTAAAACCCTCAACCCCTAAAACCCTAAACCCCTTATACCCTAAAGCCACGAATCGGACATCCGTTCTGAGCCTGCCAAACCTGACACTGACTTAGGCGCCAGACCTGAGATGCTAGGCTGCTAGGGTGTCCCGGCAGCCCGCGAGCCCAAAACTCAACATGCTCACCACAAACTGCCATCAGCTCAGCATACCATCATGTACTATACTATACCATACTACATTATACTGTACTACAACAGATACGTCCCAAAACAAACGTACTATAAATATGCAGACTATAGCGTTTAAGGCCAAGGTGCGAGTCCGAGGGCATGTGCCTGTGACATAAGGGTGAAGATGCCTGTCAACGCGGGATCAATGCCACATGCAGCTTGACGACTCCACTATATGTGCGTTTCAGGTTTTGTAAAGGTGTGGTTTACTAAACCCTAATTGGGGACCCTAAACCCTGTGTTTAGGGTTTCCCCCTCAAGAACCCCTCTCTGATAGTAGGCATATCTTGGGGCTTAGGCTTTGGTGTTGCAGGGCACTGGTTAGGGCAATTCCTTGCATGCAGAGTCAAGAGCTGCAGGAACACGCGCCCGCGACTGAAGTCTGGCTGATGCAAGATTGCAATTGAGTCTTTGAGGTTTTGGTGGTACAGGAGCGGTCGTCATATAACTTGAAAGCAGAAAACGCTAAGAGGACTATGATGTCTTAGGTAGCATGCCCTGGATGTTAACAGTCAGCCCTAAACCCAAGACTTTCGTGCTTTACTACAAGTGCTCCATAGGGTGGTTACAAATCGAGAAAGTGTTACCTGCGCGAGTAAGACTCAGAATCCCGCACCTGAAATCAGCGCCTGCGACGCGATGACAGCTGCCAGTGCTGCTAGGATAAACAGCGGCCAGAGGTAGGAGTCGTCAGGTACCTATTTAGGCTTAGGGTTCCTGATTTGGCTATCGTTTAGTTAACTTAAGTTAAGACCCCAAAGATATCATTCGTTAAGCAAAAAGGGAACTACAATGGAAACTATAGGTAAACCCTGAACCCTAGACCGTTCCAAGACACACAACCCCAAACCCTGAACGCTAAACCGAGCCAAAACGCTAAACTCTGAATCGGATCATCCCGGAATCCCAAATCCTACAGCAAGGACTTTTGTGGTTTGGAGTTCCTGGTGTTTTGAAGGATCGGATATGTTTGAGTTGTGGCAAATCGTAATCTTCTAAACCTCGAACCTTATAAACCTTTGCTCAGGGTCCACTTCCCTGTTTCCGACCTCAGCGAACCTACCTGGACCCTGAAGTGTAGCAATGCAGGAGCCTTAGCAACTCAGGGTGTGGTTTACGTTGGTGTAGGAGGGGCATGGGGGGAACCCTATATTCCCACGGTGGGTTGCGCTTTGCTAGGCGATGCTCCTGTAATGAGAAGATGTGAGTCTGCATTGGGCACGGGCACTGCTCCCACCCTGTAACGGTCTACATCACGGGTTTTAACGCCAATATACCTACATATATATATATATATACACATCTATTATAGAGTTATCTAACCTAACTGTTACAGAGCAGTGGCAGTACCCAAAGTACATCATATACCGCACGGCAAACCAAACTGCAACAGAGGAGATACTCGCAAGCCAAGCTCTTCACCGCAAGTCCGCGACAAGCACATGGTCCGAATTCCTAGACTCGCTTCCGCCAAACTCCAGGAAACAAATGGTGAGCCTTTAAAGCCATTTATACTGACTTTGACTTTAGAGACGTATCAATTATCAGATTCCAGACGGCAGGTATCCCGGAACTGTGGCATATAGAATATGAGCAGCTGAATGCTGAACCAGGTGGCCGTCTGGTACAGAGGGTTGTCGTTTACGCCCGCAGGGTTCTTCGCCAAGACGATGGCTTGTCCCAAATACTGCCTGCTTATTGGACTTTGAAGTAGCCAGGGAGAAAAAGTATAGGTGTTTATTTCATAATGGTGCCTTTAAGGAATAGCTGCCAAAAAAGTACTCAAGTCTGGTACTCCAAACCCACACAGAAGCACCCCGCACATGTGTGCTCAAAAGCCAGGCTCCTGAGCGATTCAACTGACTGCGAGACCTGAACTCCCCACCCAGTAGGGCTCGTAAGACCTTGTGTTGAAATTACGTGGGGGCGGGGGGGGAGCCTACCGGTTCGAAGGCAGACTGGTGCATGATAGAAAAACTGTCGTTGAGGCCAGCATAAATGAGCTCGCCGAAACATACACGCGAAGCTGCGGAACGCTGGTATCAAATACCGGCAACGTAGCAAAACGTGAACTAATGGCTAGGCACTCCATACACGAGTATCAAAGTGTCCATGCGTGGCACTGCTGAGCTACCCTTGTCTGCTGGCCAGGTGGCAGTATTAAGCATGGGAACACCATCACAAACCAGGCGGTCGTAATCGGCCGTGCTCCGAAATGGCCTCAGAGAGCTGTCTTTGGGGGCTCCATAGTAGTTCCTTTTTGGGATTACCTTATTGTAGGATTCTATATATGAACCACAGAAAGGCAGTACTATGGAGCCTCTGGGAAACGCCTACACTGCAGCATAGGGAGAAGTCGGGGGAAGTCGCCCAGAGCTATAAAAGATCATAGTTCGAATTTCGGAAACATATCTGCCGGTGTAGCCTTACCCTATACTCTCCATTGCGGTTTAAGCAAGTACATAAAATCTTGAAAGGTAGCGAAAGAAAGGAACAAGAATGGAGACTGTTGGGCGCAGTTAAGAAGCAGTCAAGCTAAGTAGGGCTGTCCTAAGGGCTTCGGACTTAGTACGTAGATTTGTAAGTACCTTGATTAAGGTTATATGTAGATATAACTTTCGTTACCGTACTTATAACCCTACTTACTAAGTCCCATGATCCTCCAAGTAAGGGCTTGGGCCTGAGAGGATGCCAGGTGGAGGGCAGAAGCTTACAAGGAATAACCTAGGAAAAGGGTGCCCTTTTTGGTTTAAAGGGGCTTATAAGGGAACTTGAGCCCTAAAAAAAGGAATAGGGGTCTACTCTAGGTCCGAGAGGTTTAGGGAGGCTGATAGTGGCATCCGAGTGGCCCATGTCTGCGTAGAGAGCTTCGGCGCCCGTTACGCAAAGGACGACCCCTGCAATAGATCTGTAGGCGCGGAATCCACGAAATCGGCCGTAGATGAAGAACTCGTACACCTTCACCTTGGGGCTGCCCCGCTGGGATTCCCTTCTGCACAGCCAATATGGGGGGAGGGTGTAATTAGGACAGACTATTGAGGCATCGCCCAGCTTTTGTGTTCAACTCTTTCTCTGTAAGCCTGACGAACTGCAACATGCAGCCTGTTCCACTAAGGGCAGAAGGGCTACATACCATGCAGGACCAGGGCGGCACAGTAGCTGGGCTCCATAAGTGCACCCATACAAACACACATACAAACAAACATACATACATACTTACGTACGTACTTACATACATGTATGAATGTATGGGTGTGTGTATATCTGTATGTACGTAAGTACGTACGTACGTGTGTGTGTGTGTGCGCACATGCATGTATGCCTAGCTACCTATCTATCTATCTATCTGTTGAGCACTTAGAGACAAGTCCGACAACTTGTCGAACCGAACCATACCTTTTCCTGCTCGTCGGGTCAGTGCTAGAACTTCTTGAGCGGTTGAGTTAGCAGTACCAACTGTTGGAGAAGGCTTGCGATTAAGGATCATATAACGCATTGTTCCCCTAAGCCATGAACCCTGAAACATGGGCATCCTAAGAACCTTACACCGGTGGGAACAGATCCAAGCTCCGCTGTAGCGCAACGAATATGTAACTGTGCAGATCTCAATGTGTTATGTAAGTGTACATATATGTTGAGATATACTGCAGGGTTAGTACTTAGAAGGCGTATACGTGTATGCGATGCATGTGTAGCATAACAAATGAACAACCTTTAATGAAACAGCCGTAAAACATATCGTAAAACATATATAGGCATCTGCATGCACATGCTGATTCATAGAGGCGGAGGGAGAGAGAGAGAGAGAGAGAGAGAGAGAGAGAGAGAGAGATAAGTAGGTTTGGAGATAGAGAGACATAGAGAGGTAGAGGGAGATGGAGGTTGAGAGGGAGAGCGAAAGAGGGTGAGAGAGAGAGAGAGAGAGACAAAGAGAGAGACAGAGAGAGAGGGAGAAAGAGAGAGAGAGCGAGAGAGAGAGAGAGAAAACAAAACTGACAGCGAAAGTGACGGTCTGGGACTTGCTGACAGCGGGCTGGGCTGAAGCCCTGAATCATGTAGGAGGCCAGCTCCTCGGGTTTAGGTTTAGGTCGCTTGTGGCATATTGCGAGGATCACGTGACTTAGCAAGTCGGGGCCCCTTAGGAGCCGGTATAGTAGCCATTTAAGGAACCCTACTTGGAGGATTCGTAAGTAGGGGAAAGAAGTGCCTTAAGCTGGGTCGTCATACGTAGATACGACTTTAGTTACCTTTCTTGAAAACCTACTGACTACGTCCCCTGATGCTTTGAGTACGGGCTTGGCCTCCAGTCACAGGTAGGCTTCCGAACTGCTGGGTTTTGTCTGCCACTCCAGGTCTCCATCAGCTGCAAGGCCCCAAGCCGTAAACCCTAAAACCCGTTGTTTTGTTTGAGGGTTTACAGGGTCAAGGGTAAACCCCGAATCCCCAAGGTCCCCAACACTCTGAAACCCTGAACCCCAAATCCCAGCAACCCTAAACTACCCCAAAACCTCAACCCAACACTTAAAGCCTAAACCCTCCTTGCAAAAACAGAGTCGGGGTTTGCCACGATCTGGTAGACACCCAGGGCACCCATTGTCAGAAACCAGAGGATCATGACGGGCCCCGCCACCTGGGTAGGGTTTAGGGTTTGCGGTTTGGGATTTACACGGGGTTTTGGTATTTTTAGGGGGTTTAGGGGTTTAGAGTTCAGGGGTAGGGTTTAGGGTTTGGGGTTTAAGGGTTGTGGTTCGGGTCGGACATTCGTCAGTCAGTGTCAGGCATCAGGCCCAGCTTAATCCTCGCAGCTGGGCCGCCTAAATTATCAGCTTTGTCTGGGAGAAGAACATTGCGCCGTGTTCCACAACCCTAATACTGTATAGGCCCTTGGAATCTTAAACCTTAACACGGTAGAAGAGCTTAGCTCAAGACCGGCGGAACATGAAGCGGGCAATCCATCATGGGCTTAGGCTGCAGGCTTTAAGGCTGCGGGGGGTCGATGGGGGCTTCAAGAAGCTGAAATAGTCCTTGAAAGAGCCCTGCTTTAGTAGCTCCGTGATGACTCAATGCACACTCCTCCGGCAAGTCCATGACTCATTATTATTGGGGTGGCCAGGTGTTGAGTTTGGGTCCCAGGGCACACCACACTAATGTTATATGCGCTCGTTTTCGGCCTTTTGTGGTAGGCGTCCCTGCGAGATCGGATCAGGACAGAACGAGAGCTAAATATGAAGATCAAGAGCGAGGGGCAGAGACAAACTAAACATTAAAATGACGGAGAAAGAGAGAGCGGGAGAGTGCGCGCGATTGAGTGTGTGCCAACATGTGAGCGACTGTGCTTGTGTGTGTGTCTGTGGGAGTAGATCTAATCGTGATCCTGGTACAAGACTAGTCAAAGTTGTAGGAGGCAGTTATAGTACGGCATGTACGTGCTCTCTAAATCACTTCATTCAAACGCATCTCGTTGCAAGCTACATGCTTGGCACGAGGTTTTTCTATGATGCCTGCCTGCGGGTGGCGCGGGAGGGGGAGGGGGGGGGGTGGCCGGCTTACACCGGGTATTATCACCAGCTGAAACCATGGTTTTCATTGTATACTAGAGACATAGACGTAGATATATCGTAATTACACAAAACTGACGTATCTCTGCACGTACTCAATGCGAATGTAGAACCTTCGTCTCGTCCGCCATCATTAAATAGATTTCATTGATTTTTCAATGCGATCGAATTCTTGTAAAGCCAAGTGACAGGATCACGCAGGTTGAATCCTGACTATAAGAAACGGGAATATGGTTATGTCACGATCAGTGTGATACATAAAGAAATCAAACATGCGTATCTCTGTACGTACTCAATGCGAATGTAGAACCTTTCGTCTCGCCTCGTCATCATTGAACAAGCTTTCTTGAATTCTCAATGCGATCGATTTATCATAAAGTCAACGGCTCAGACCACGGAGATGGAATCATGACTACCAAGAAACGGAAATGCAGTTGTGGTTTCAACAATCAAACCCACCGGCGCTGACCAGGCCGAAGGGGACTGCCTGCAAGCCGCACAACAACTCGTTGTTCCTTTATGGGACTTCAACATAAGATCATGGAACGGAGGAATGCTGACATACCGACATGTGGCAGACAAACAAACTCACGAACTACTGAAAATCGCAACAGCATTCCACGAACTATCGTCTTGGCACTTACGCAAGGATCGACTGCACATTCCACATCAGCCAACATCCTACGACCTCCGTCCCGGGCGGATAATGGGATTCATCGACCGAAGCCGGAACGGAGTGCGCCGCATAGCCTTTGCCTTAGGCAAGACGGGCATGCGTTTCTTCGCAGGCGTGCGACTAGAGGTTGACGGACATGCAGTAACCGCCTTCCGCGACTGCTTTGCAGATCTGACGCAGCCTGTTTGACAACTTTTAAAGTTGCCCTCCGCGGAGTTTTACCAGCAACACGGAGATCCTTGCACCACTTATTCCATTCCTTTGATGGCAGGATGCTGCGTGCATTGCCTTGTAACGCTCTGTGAACAAGCTCGCCTTGGGCGACTTGCGTTTGCATCGGTCTATACAAGGCCTGGTTGTGCAGCAGCAACTTCAAGAAATGAAAGAAGCGAAGCTTCAGGAGGAAAGCCGCCTTGTGTATCATGGCCTGCAGCAACGAGTTCTAAGCAACGGATCGCACCGACATGATTGCCACGCTGGCTAATGCAACCAAGTCACAGTTTGCCGAAACCACACTTTAACTTCATGGTGCAGACTTTCATTAGACGTTGATAGACGTTGTACCGCTTGGCAGGAGCACTAGCTCTTGCCGATTGATGGAATGGCGGTATCTGGTGTCGTTGAGAAGCCATATTTGGAACTTGGCAGGGCTGGCGACGCCGACGTTCACGATGAGCCGATGCAGCGAAACCCCTGTAAAGGTGACTTTACGAAGTTCTTCTCGAAAGAATGAAAAGTGTGCTACCAAGGCTTGGAGGAAGTCAACTTCCGTCATCCAAGGAGCGTCAGGATCCAGTGCCTCTAGCAGCTGTCTCGCTGCGTTTTCGGACATATCCGGCTCTAAAAGACAATCTCTCATGGATCTGACATCCTGCGGCGCTGGTCCCAACGTGCCTCCATTGTAGAACTCACCCCCAAGATGCCTGCCTTGCGAGAAGAGTGCCGCGTGCGAAAATAGGTGTGAAAAACCATGGTTTCAGCTGGCGATAATACCACATTTAAGCCGCGCACGGGGGGGGGGGGGGGGTCCGGGCGCTCGGTAGTTTGCGGGCTTGTCGTTGATACGGGACAAACATCAGCATCTTGCCGTCATGGACTATGCGCAACGTCATTGTGGAGTGTGGGCGTTTGCTTAGCATGTGGGTTCTGTTTTTCAGGGCATAAAGCCGCGATCGAAATCTTCAAACAAGGACGGATCCTTCTATACATTCTAAGTACCTGGCCTTTCTCACAAAACAACAAAAGTATGCCACTACACTGTAAACCCGTAGATAAGTTACAACAACCTGCGTCTTGACGTCCAAATGCAGCCCAGGAGCAAGCCCGATAAATCGGGATCCAACGCGCTGTAGAGAGAACCTCATATGGATGGCTGAAAGACCAAAAACCCTATAATATAGATGCATTGCTAATTGCATATACTGTTTTGGGGGTTCAGTATTATTGTTCTAGTACAATGGGCTCCCAAACCCTAAAAATTAAGGCCCCGATATTATCAGCCTACCACGAAGATCCTGTCAGACCCACAGGGGCTTGAAGTTGTGAGAAGCCCCGATATCCTAAACCGTAGGTTGGCGGACTAAGTTGGTGGTTGTTAAGCGCGGTGGACTCGTGTTCGAAGATATCTGCTCTCAACATCCATACCAACCCCTCCACCGGCACTTTAAACTCTATATCATCATATCTCTCAGAAGGAAAGAAGGCCTAGAGTGTGCTTGAGGCACGTTGTTTGTACACGAGTTGGAGCCAACCGCAGTTGCAAAACAACCTGTCATCCTGAGGGGAGCATTATACATGCTGCGCTACGTACGGGCTTTTTGGCCATTTTCTACTGTCTGTCTTTCGTCTTTGCAATGCAGGTCGCAGGATTCAATTCTCATGCTCATAGCCTCTATCACTAGATGAGTTTTGAGAGGGAAGTGTATAAAACACTATCTCTCTATAATAACATATAGTATATACATATAAGAATAATATATATATATATATATATATATGAATATCCGTTAACCTATATGTATATACATATGTGTATATATATATATATATATGTAGATATGTGTAGAAGAATAGATAGACACAAACACATGTATGTACATATATATATATACACACATAAATATATATATATATATATACATACAGGAGAGAGAGAGAGAGAGAGAGAGAGAGAGAGAGAGAGAGAGAGAGAGAGAGAGAGAGAGAGAGAGAGAGAGGGAGAGAGATGCTCAGGTATAGATTATGATAACTACACAGGAACTTTACGGTGCTCATGGGTGTTGGGTTGCGGGGTTGAGTGCTCAGGGTTTGGGGGTTTAGTTGAAGGATACTTCGGTCGCAAGGCTCCAAAGCACTACCTAGAGGGTCAATGGGACTTAGTGAGTAAGGTTTTCAGAAAGGTAGCTAAAGTTGTATCTAATTATACAAACTTAATTGAGGTACTTATAACCCTACTTACTAAGTCCCATGATCCTCTCAGTAGCTGACCTACCTTTATGAGGGCTTCTTGCCACGATTCCCATGTTGCAGTGCCAGGAGCTTCGGCTTTGGGGCATGAGTTTCCCGGATGTGCCTTTAATGGCTTTGAAGTTTACGGTGGCCCAAACATAACTCAAGCTCTGCGCTCTTTCTATGTTGGGACTGTGTTTAGGACTAGAATGTGGAGTTACAAAGTTGATTATGAAGTAGGAAGCAGTGTAGGGTTCAGGGTTGACCTGAATCCGAAGGCGTCCTATAAAAACAAGCGGCAATCAGATATGAACTGCTGACCAGGCACAGGAAGATTTGAATGAGGACTGCAACGACACAGTTCCAGTTTTTGTCCACGTTCATGACGGGGCTGTTCCTGACTGTATGCAGGATTTACGTTATACCAGTTACAACTTGCAAACTTCGGAAACTTCTTCGGGTATCAGCAATTTCCTGCGCAAACAATCGAGCCCGCAAAAGCCATATCAACACTGAACAAGCGCCGCAGGAAAAGGCGTGGACAACCTTATGGAACTGCTTGTCTCATGCATCAGCCGTTCGCGCTTTGAATCTCCTCTCCGATGACGGCAACCCCTATGAATACATCAAACAGGTTCAGATGGGGTTTCCGGAACTCCAGTTTAAAATGACATACCTCTCTCCCTGCTTCTCCATGTCTGCCTTGTTAGATGATAACAGCATTCATTCCGGTGTCTTGAGATGCTCTGTGCTCAATGATGCAGAGCCCTAATTCATAAGTGCCCCCTCCCTCAAGAAAAGTAGGTGTTTTTGTGAGCCCCACTGCTTCCAAATCTGCGCCTCTAAACACCAACGACATGTGCTGCGTCGTTGCACATTACTCTATTTCGGAATACCCTTGGACAACAGGTGGATGAAGCCCAAGCCCGTGCACCCGCCACCTAAACCCTAGACCCTAAACCCTCAACAACCTCGACTTCGCAGGCGGGTGTCAGTGCTCCTAATACCGAGTTCGGTGGCGTGACGACGCCGTCGCCAATGAGCATAGAACAGCTAAGGAGCCTTGCAAGAGTAGTGTCCGCATTGACGGCTTTGGGAATTCAAGTGAAGGACTCACAGTTGACTTGCTTGCGGGCTTGCAGGTGAGGGGCATTGGTAGGCCGCCAGACTCTGGCTGGTCTGATGTCGGGGATGTGGCACTAAACTCGCCCAAACTTGGGAATGCTAGCCTACATCATGCTGTTTCCGAGCTCTAACCTCGAGGATTTGCTGCAGGTGCTCAACTCAACAAGTGAATGCAGCGGGCGAAGTGTTCCCTCGATGTGAAGGCTTGGATCTACCGTAACTCCTGTACCCGCAAGCCTAGCTCTCAGGAAGTATAAGAAAATCAATCTGAGGACCTCAAATCTTCAAAGCCAAAGAAATCCCTAAACCCTTAACCCAAAACCACGGCCAAGACACCCCAGTAGCAGCACCGTCCGTTGCTCCCGGCTGGAGGTGCTGAAACGGTAGCTGTGGCTGCCGCTGATCTCCTGTCTTCAACCCCTACCGAATCATAATAATAATAATGATCGTCATCGTAACAATAATAATAATTGTACTAATTTACTGAGAATCATAATAGTATAGTAGAATAGTAATAGTAATAACGTTAAAACAAGTAATAGTAGTCGTAATAACAGTAAGAAAACTATTCCGAGCCTTGCAGACAGGGCCCTTCCACGGAAACCCAAATAAAGGACTCAAAGGTGGCCATCAACGACAGGGATCTCGTAGCTAAAAGTATGAGCCTAGCGTTGCAGGCCTAAGCCCGCAAACCAATCAAACTTAGAACCCCTAACTCATCAAATCAGGGAAACCCTAAAACCTAAGCATAAAACTCTAGCACCCTGAAACCTTGAAACCCTAATGCCCGGAAACCCTAAACCCACTTCGGGGCTCTGGGCGAACCTGGACCAAGGGTATGGAGAATAATTGTGCTTTTTTTGTGGGTGTTGGGCCACTGCTCTACCTACTTTTGGGGGTGGAAGTACGGCTTACATGTCGGGCATCCTCTTCGGAGCTTTCCTCGTCAGAACTGCCATCTGCGTCCTGAGGGCGTCTCGGGTCGGCAAAGCAAAGCAAGCTCAAAAGGGTTCAGGGTTTTGTACTTCAAACCTTGAGCCATTAGACTGGTGTATTCTGGTGCAGTTTTGTAGGGACTTTAAGGGAATACTATGAGCAAGTATTCAGACCCTACTTTACCCTTGCGAGAGACTTTGGAGCCCACCTTAGTGTCGATTTCGGATAGAGTTGCAGACAGTTCACCGGTCGAAGATCCTGAATCTCCGGTTCATGACACGTTTGGCTTTTATGTAGATGTTTAAGGCCTATGCCTATGCCCGGGTAGGCAAGTTCTTGACACAGGAATTCCTAAACCGTGTATCCATGCCTGCGGCCTGCAGCACGTAACCCTCGCGTTTCGCACCCTGGGGCCATCCCTGTCCTTTGCGCCCTTCTGTTGTATGTGCTCCAAGATCACTTGCATCATCGCGAAGGTTCCTCCAGAGACAGCGAGAGAGGAAGAGCGTGAGAAAGTGAGTGAGTGAGTGTGTGAGTGCGAGAGAGCGAAAGCCAGAGAGAGAGAGAGAGAGAGAAGCAGAGAACTGGCTGGACTTTGTGCAGGGGTTGGGCCTTGTGTTGTTGCACATAGAAACTGTACCAGGTTGTAGGTCTAGCGGACGATGTACTGTCTACATAGTCGCAGGTCAGCCATGAAATCGTAAATTAGACTAAATCTATGTTCGTTCGAAGTGTTTCAATATAGAACTCATGCAGTTTTATTGTGCAGTTACCAAGCCTGCACTTAGGCTTCAGGACCTAAAGCTTTAGGCGACGGTTGAGGTGTTCAGGGTTTATTTCGGCTTTCGCCTCGGCCTGTCTGTCAGAGTACGAGTTTTACATCGATGAAGCCCGAAATCGCAAATACTTTCCAAACCGATTCCCCGCACCCGAAACAGCACCCATACGAAAGCTCAATAAACTGACAAGGCCCTTAAGCCCTCAAACCATAAACCCCTAAACCCTCCTTGGAAGCGTGCTGGGGTCGATGAGTCGGTCGACAACAGACCCGGTTTACGAGGAACCTTAAAATGAGTTGGCTGGAGTCCCTCTGACGAGGCCTTTACACATGCAAAAAATGGGATCCATCTTAGGGTTTAGGGCTTTGAATGTCGAGCCCTGAAATGGGTTTGGATGTCAAGGAATCTCAAGCTTTAGGTTTATTGGATGTACAGGGGTTGAGGGTTTTAATGTTGTGCCCCAAGAGGGCTTGAATTTAAGGATTTGAGGTTTGTGCGGTGTAAGGTTCAGGAGGATAGTGCTCAGGGTGTTTGGGTGTGAGGG